ATCTGACAGGGAGATATGGAGGGCCGAAGGGGAAGGGAGGGGGAGAGAGAGGGGGAACCCTCCTTTTCGTAGGTACAGTCACCCTCTCATTCAAACATTTTTCACAACTTCCCACAGCCCACACAACGACAGGTGGTGAGGCAGCAGACACGGTTGTACCACACTGCACTGCACCGCACTGCACCACTGCGATACCCCAATCTCTCCTTACGCACCTCTCGGCAGAAGTCTTCAGTCGTTAAGACAGAGGCACACTTCAACGACCACTCGGCTTTCCAGTCGACTCAAAAGTCACCTGAATATCCCCCTACTCACCTCTCTACGAAAGTCTTCAGTTGTTAAGACAGTGGCGCGCTTCACAGCCCACAGCAGAGACGGGTCGTGGGGAGACACACCCTTGTACACCACCCCGTACCCGCCGCTGCCAATCTTGTTTGCCTCAGCCCAGTTGTTAGTCGCCCACAGGACGTCAGATAAGGGGTAGCTTTGGCACTGCGCAGGCCCACGTATCCCCGCTTCTGCTGCTCCTGCTACTGCTGCTGCTTCTCCTGGCGCTGTTGCTGCTGCTCCTGCTAATGTTGCTGGTGATACAGCTGCTGCTGGTGCTGGTGCTGGTGCTGGTGCTGGTGCTGGTGCTGGTGCTGGTGCTGGTGCTGGTGCTGCTTCTGCTGCTGCTGGTGCCACTGCTTCTTTTGCTGATTCTGGGGGGATGGTACATAAGTGAAAGGGGCAGGTGTAGGAACGCGGGTGCAAAGGGGTTGCAACAGATGAGAAGGGGTGGCAAAGCCGAGGTGGCAAGCTGCCGAGGCAAACTGGCATGAGCAAGTGCGTCATGCTGCAATGAGGTTCAGGCTATCATCACAGCAAGATGATAATGGCACGAGCTGCCATCAGTTTAGAGGCAGGTCGTGCCATCAGATTTGAGGCATCTCAAAACTCATCATCTTTCCGAGATGAGGTTCGGGTTGTCACCACAGCATGACAATGACGCGAGCCTCTGGAATTTCTGTTAATCCTTAATCGAAAGCAGGCCCAGTCTTTTTTTTTTTTTGCTTATAAAGCCGTGGTCCCCTGATTTAACATATAATAACTCTTCCTCCGTGGCCCCTTATGGATCAGTGAACCCGCTTATGATTCCATAGGCCTTTTATTTATCCATAAGGCCCTACAAACCTGGAAACCCCCTCACACGCCTTCACTTACCTTCATCTTTGGCTGCTTGATTACATGCCGCCTTGGCCCTGCGCCTTTTCTGACACAAGAACACCGTTAGAAGGACCAATCCCAGCAGCAGCACCACCGCTCCCACCACCACCCCCACCACCACCCCCGTGGAGAGGGAGGAAGAGGACCCCCCTCCTGTTCCAGTGGGGAAGCGGTGGGAGGTGGGGAAAAGGCGGAGGTGGGGGAAGGCGGAGGTGAGGGGAAGGCGGAGGTGGGAGGAAGTCGGAGGTGGGGGCGGAGGTGAGGGGAAGGCGGAGGTGGGAGGAAGTCGGAGGTGGGGGAAGCGGAGGTGAAGGGAAGCGAAGATGGGGGGAAGGCAGAGGTGGGGGAAAGGGGAGGTGGGGGAGGTCAGAGGTGGGAGGAAGGCGGAGGTGGGGAAGAAGTTGGGGGTGGGGGTAAGGCGGAGAGGGAGCAAGGAGGAGGGTGTGGGGGAAGCAGAATCATCCAAATCACCAAATCTTCAAAGTTACGTGAACCATCCAAGTCATTGGAACTGAATAATCTAAAATCTCTGGTATATCTGAAGCGTCTCAGTCATCGGAATTGCTCTCACCAGAGCACAGCCAGTTCTGACACCTGATGACTTTTGAGTCGACTCGAGCCACCTCCTTTTAATGGCACATGACACGTTTCAGTCATCGGGATTGCTCTCACCACAGCACGGCCCATAGTTTTGTGACGTCACAAAACTCAGTATCAAAATCGTTCTCACCAGAGCACGGCCCGTTCTGACACCCCCCACCGCAGTAAGTCTCGTTGCTTCCACAATAGCCGTACTGGCTGCGCGCAAAAGAGGGTGAGGGGAGAGGCAGGGAGGGGAGAGCAGCCAGAAGCGTCTGGAATCGCCCTCACGTTAGAGCACCTGTGTCGCAGTAGGAGGCGTTCTTCCGCACCAGGTGGAGGAATGAAAGCACCTAAGTACCAAAAAGGCGTGTTCCGAAAGCAACAAAGGACAGAAAGGGCGTGTTCTGAACGCACTAACGGAATAAAATGTCGTGTTCTGAAAGCATGAAAACGACTCAAAATGGAAGGAGAAGGGGGGGGGGGAGTGGCATTGACATGATGAGCAGCATGATAGGCTCGGGTTGTGAGATGCCTCAAACAAACCTGAAGCCTAGGTTCGGGTTGTGAGTCCTCTCAAACTGACCTGCAGCATAGGCTCGGCGGGTTACATGGCGAGGAGCTGGAGCACTGCTGTTGAGTGGTCGTTGTTGTCACTAAGAAAAATAGGATGGGAAGGGACAGTAAGGTGGCATTGTAATGAGTGCATGCAGGGATGCATGGATACTATGTGCATGCACGTATGCATAGTGTGTACATGCATCATGAATGCATGCATACTATGTGTGCATGCATGGATGTGCTAGGTGTGTATGCATGGAAACATGAGAGAGAATGGATATGAAAGAGCATGTTAGGTGAGAGAGATACACGTGCTCTAGCACATGTTAGGTACGCGTGCTCTCCCTTTCTTCTTTCTCTCTACGGTAGAGAGAGATACACATGCTATGGAATGGCATTACCCGCGCCGATTATCCGAATTAACTGGATTGAAATATTTACCTGAGTCATCTAGTCTGATTGTCGGAATTGTTTAAATCATCAGTATTCATCTAAAATCCGTATCATGTATCTATCCAGTTTACCCGAGGCATCCAAATCAACAGAATCGTCCTCACCAGAAATGCACGGCCCGTTCTGACAGTCCGCACCGCAGTAGGCGTCACTGCTTCCGCAATAGCCATCCTTGCTGCGGGCAAGCGGAGGGTTCGAGGCAGGGGAAAGAGGGTTACGGACAGAGCGGGAGAAAGAGAGGGGAAAGAGAAGAAGGCGAATGTATGAGATGCCGAATATACGAGGCCGCGGTCGAGGTGTTTTGAGGGTGAGGGGAACTTTTCCGCCGTGAAAGCAAACATCAGCTTGAAAGGTAGGTGTCGGGATTGGCCTCATTTTTAGAATTTGAATTTGTGTTCTGAACTCGACTTTCAGAAATGTCTGAAATAGTGGTAATATATGAAAATGAATGTGTTCCGGAAGCACCGAAGGACTTTAAGGTTGTGAAGCATGAAAATCGACTCCAAGTCGGACAGGAACTTGGGGAGGAGCGCCATTGAGCTGACCAGCAACAGGCTCGATATGTGAGACGTCTTTAGACTAACCTGCAGCACAGGCTCGTCAGGTTACACGCCACGGAGCTCGAGCACTGCTGAGCGCGCGCTAACGGTACCAGAATCAATGCGATGGCGATGGAGAGTGAGATGGCGGAGGTGAGACGCTCGCTCCGAAGGTACCGTGGAGCCATGGAAGCTAGCTAAGGTATGGAATCGGCTGGTATTGTCGCAATGCAGAAGACACGGGGACTCGAAATTGTGATATCCTGAGAATCGCGTTTCACGGTGCCTAAAGTAGCTGTTATGCTGGCTGAGAATGACCATAATTGTAGTAATAAAGGATGTAGCGTCGCTAGGCGCATCCTGCAGATTTTCAGACAAGTCCGAATTTCAATTGCGGTTTAAATCGGTCCATGCTGTGCTGCTACGATTCTGTATCGTTAAAATTCGTTTCACAGCGGTAAGGTCCGGACTTTTTCGAGGTTCCCAGGATGTTCAACCCCCCAAGAACAAATAATTGCTGCCAGGAAGGGTGTGGAGTGGAACAGAACTTCCGTTTTTGAAAGCCCAAGCTGGTAACTCAGTCGTTAGCCATGCCGTCGCAACCCCATCTACCTGTGGCGATTCTCGTCAAAATCACATGTTGCGGTCGTCTCCCAAGGCAATTTTTCCAAACCCCTCGTACTGTATCACGAACGAACACTCACGGATGTAAAATTCGCGAAGCGAAGGCAATTATGGTAGGGAGATACAGAATGACCCTTGCTTGGCACGGGGGGCCACTCGGACTCACAGAAACCGCGTTTGACCTTTGGAGACCCAGCCAAGGTGGATGCCCATTTCAGCTCAAAATCACGGTGCTGCAATATAGAAATATAGGGATAGATTTATCTGTAGTGTATCCCTCTGTCTCTAAAACAACCATGTCATCTGTGTTTTCTCTGCTTGTCAGGGTTCTTGAAGAGCACCCTGATTTATCTTGCGATTTTCTACAATATGTGTTGTTCTCTGTACATAATACATGCATCTTGACCGTACACTACTTCTGTTTGATAAACTATGTTGCTCCGTCACCCCATGCCCCACGCACCCGTCACCATGTGTGCTAAGGCCCTACAACGCCTGCCAGGGAAGGCCATGGAGTGGGGGGAATGCAGTGGGGAAAGATGAGACCACAAGAGAGTCAACATGACGGGGAGATAACGCAATGGGGGTTTGGGGGGAGGGATGGGAGCGTGGGGAAGGCACTGATGTGGAGCAAGAGGAATTGAAAAAGAGGGAGGAAGGAAGTACATTGGGCAAGGAAGGACAAGGCAGAGCAAGGTAGAGCAAGATAATGCATGGCAGAGCATGGGGGAGCATGGTAACAAGGCTTGATGACATGACATGCTACTCACACACACACCACCTTCCCACCACCTCCCCAGCACTCCCCAACACTTCCCCACCACTTCCGCTCCACCTTCCCACCACCTCCCCTCCTCCTTCCCACCGCTCCCCACCGCATCTCACCGTCCTTGGGATCATCAGTCAGGTCGTTAAACGTCACCACCGCCCTCCTCGCAACCTTCTGGATCGCATAATCCGCCAGCACCTGCATCTCACTGCCAAACTCCCCCAACAACCCCTCTCCACCGCATGTCACCACTCTCCACCGCATCTCACCGTCCTTGGGATCATCAGTCAGGTCGTTAAACGTCTCCACCGTCCGCCTCGCAAGCTTCTTGAGCGCATAGTCCACCAGCACCTGCATCTCACTGCCAAACTCCACCCTCTCCCCCACCGCCACACCCACCGAAGCCGCAACCTCCCTCATCTCGGCTTCCCACGCCGACCCTTTGGCCCAGAGAGATTCAAAATCCTCTTGAATGTACACGCTGTATGCAGCCTTAAGAGGGTCAAAGAAGTGGGGGTGTGGCTCGTTGGTTGCGATGTAGAGAGTGGTGTTTGGCGGGACGAGCGATGGGAGCTTCTGCAGGAGACTGGGGTGAGAGGGATGGCACGGGCAGGGCGGGCTGTCACTTCAGAAAGTTGTCACAAGCAGCGTACACTTCAGGCCGAGTGTGACGATTTTTGAGTCGACTCGAAAATCGTCTCACTTCAGGCAGCTCACACTTCAGGCCGTGTGCCATGGTCCAATAGAGGCCAGTGTGTGGCATGAGGTGGCCGGGTGTCGCCGTCCCATCGCCGCACGTGCACATAGGCAAAGCGGTGCTGCTGCGACCAGCTATATGGGAGCCACACTTCAAGCCCGAGACGGTGCATATCTAATTGGGAACTCACGCATCGGGCCGCGTTTCTCGATCCAGATGGGGCCAGCCATTGGGTGGCATTGAGCTTGTCCCCCCGCCGCACATGCACATAGTCAAAGCGGTGCTGCTGTCACTCTTGACAGATAGGGCAGGTTCAACAGAGCACTCACGCTTCGGGCCATGTGTCATGGTCCAAACGAGGCCATCAGGTGGCATTGAGCTTGTCTCCCCGCCCCACGTGTATGTAGTCAAAGCGGTGCTGCTGTGGCCAGGTGTACGGGGCAGGTTCAACAGGGCACTCACGCTTCAGGCCTGGTGTCTCGATCCAGGTGCGGCCATCTCGTAGCATTCAGCTTGTCTCCCCGCCGCACATGTAGGTAGTCAAAGCGGTGTGGGCTGCCCTCCCATGGCATGGGGAAGAGGGGGAGCATGCACTCACGCTTCGGGCAGGGTGTCTCGATCCATGTGCGGCCAGCGTGTAGCATTGAGCTTGTCCCCCCGCCGCACGTGCACATAGTCAAAGCGGTGCTGCTGTCACTCTTGACAGATAGGGCAGGTTCAACAGAGCACTCACGCTTCGGGCCGGGTGTCTCGATCCAGGTGCGGCCAGCGCCTAGCGTCCAGCTTGTCCCCCCGCCGCACGTGTATGTAGTCAAAGCGGTGTGGGCCGCCCATGGCATCAGCCATGGCGTGTGCGAGGCGGGTGAATGCGTCGTTGGGGAAGAGAAAGCCAGGGTCGAATGTGATGTTGTCCTGGTTCTGGGGATGGGGACAGGGGTATCGAGACAAGGGGCAGGGTCACAGGTGCAAGGTGCATGCATGCTTGAGTGCGTGAGAGTAACTTTGAGGCGGGTGAATGCGTCATTAGGAAAGAGAAACTCAGGGTCGAATGTAATGTTGTCCTGGTTCTGGGGATGGGGATGGAGATGGGGATGGGGACAGGGGTACGGATGGATGCAGGTGCATGCATGCATGTGTGAGCATGAGGCAGTAACTGTGAGGCGGGTGGATGCATCGTTGGGGAAGAGGGACTCGGGTCGAAGGTGGCGTTGTCCTGGCGTGGGGAAGGGGATGGGGACATGAGCACGGATAGAACACAGGTGCAGGTATGGGCACGTCAGAGGGTCGAAGGTGGCGTTGTCCTGGTTCTGGGGATGGGGATGGGGATGGGGATGGGGATGGGGATGGGGATGGGGATGGGGAAGGGGATGGGGATGGGGAAGGGGATGGGGAAGGGGATGGGGATGGGGAAGGGGATGGGGATGGGGAAGGGGATGGGGATGGGGAAGGGGATGGGGAAGGGGATGGGGATGGGGAAGGGGATGGGGATGGGGAAGGGGATGGGGATGGGGAAGGGGATGGGGATGGGGAAGGGGATGGGGATGGGGAAGGGGATGGGGATGGGCAAGGGGATGGGGATGGGGAAGGGGATGGGGAAGGGGATGGGGATGGGGAAGGGGATGGGGATGGGGAAGGGGATGGGGATGGGGAAGGGGATGGGGATGGGGAAGGGGATGGGGATGGGGAAGGGGATGGGGACATGCGCACGGTGAGAACGCAGGTGCAGGGATGGGCACGTCAGAGTGCAAAACCAGCGTGATGAAGATGGTTGTGGGTTTGCACGGAGGAGTCAACGTGCATGCGTGTATGAGAGCATGTGGGAGTGAAGAAAGAGAGCAACACAGCATGCACTGGTGGCCGCACTATCACAGAGCAACTCAGCACTACGCCCCATTGCATCCGCACACGAACGTGAGGTCCCAGAGGCCCTCACTCATGGGGAAGAGGAGCAAGCAGTGAGGCGAAAGGGGAACTTGCGCATGGGCATGACGTCCCGCTCCCACGAGCCGAAGCGAGCTTGAAAATGCTCCAAGAAAATTATTGGCTGCTGGCTGGGGCGGGGGGAAACGGAAGAGGGAAAAGGCATGGGCTGGGCTTGACGTCCCGCTCCCACGAGCCGAATCGAGCCTGAAAATGCTGCATGTATACTATAGGCTGGCGGCTGGGTGAAGCAGGAGACGAGAGAAAGCAGGATGCAAGGGGAAAGTGGTGAGGAGAGTGGGAACTTGACGTCCCACTCCCACGAAGTGACTTTCGAGTCGACTCAAAAGTCAAGTGGGCAACTTGACGTCCCATTCCCACGTGCGAGAAATTCTTTGGGGGGGGGGGGGGGGGATGGTGGGGGAAAACAGAAGCAAAAGAAGGCATGGTCGAGACATCCTACTCCCATGCCCCGAAGCACGGCGCGGAATGCTGCATGAGTACTACACCACACACTGCCCCACCCCACCCCATCGCACCGCACTGCACCGTATCTCACCATGGTGGTGAGATTATAGAACAGCCTCACGTGCCATGCCATGCTCGTCTTTCCCACAATACCCACAGCACACGCCCTCTCAGCCACACAGTACCCCACCGCACCCCACCCCACCCCACTGCGGTGCAGTGGTGAGGTTATAGAACAGCCCCACGTGCCCATGCTCATCCCTCCCGTTCCGCGAGTGTGCTTGATGCAAGCAACGGCATGCGTTTCAACGCCTAGCACACCACATCACACCACACCACAGCACACCATACCGCACTGCACCGCACAACACCATCCCAGCCTTACCCTAAGCACACGCCCTCTCAGCACCGCACAGTAGCGCACTTCACCCCACTGCACTGCACCTCATCATTGTCGTGAGGTTGTAATACAGCCCCACGTGCCCATGCTCGTCCCGCCCCGTCCGCGAGTGCGCCTGGTGCAAGCAACGGTCAGTCACCAACACCAGCGCGCGCCGAAGCGCCTTCGCCTCTGCCGCGGCGCAACGCAGCGACCACGACCAATGAGACTGCCCCACGCAACGGTCAGTGGCGGAGGATAGTAGGTAGTAGCGCTCCCCGCGCGCCACGGCGCGCGTTACCTCGTCGCGATACACGCGTCGCTGCTGCTCCCACGCCTCTTTATCCGATTTCTGGATTTCCGGTTTCCGGAGTTCCGAATTCCGGATTTCAGATTTCAAATTTCCGGATTTCAGACTTTCCACGACGTTTTCGGATTTTCCCTCTCCGCCTGCCGATTCCGGCGCCCTCCACGCCCCCGGCAGCGCTTGCGCGGGGCTGCGCGCGCGTGGGAGGAGGAGAAGCTTTTGAGACGTCTCAAATTCCGCCCTCCGCGCCTCCGGCAGCTGCGCGAGGCTGCGCGCGCGCGGGAGGAGGAGCCCCGCCGCGACGCACGCCGCGACGGCCGCGAGGAGAATGAGAGCGACGACGCGGTGCGTCGCGAGTGCTAGCAGCGAGCGGTATGGGGACGGGGCCGGTTCTGCCGCGAGCGGTAATTCGCTAGTGCTACTAACGGTAGCGGGCGCCGCGGGGGATCGCGCGGAGGGGGAAGGAGCGGCATGCGTGCGGAACACAGCTGCGTCGCGCAACCCCATGCGATACAGTCGCCACCGTCGCCCACCGTCGCTGTCGTCACCAAGTGCGATAATACCCAGAACATTGGGTGATGAATGAAACAGCTCATTTCAAGAAGAAAAATAGCATATTATGAGAAGTTACATTCGCGAGATTTTCACTACTGTGAGACCTGGGTAATTACCTTCTGGGTAACCAACATCGAAGCCGCTGACGTCAGAAGTCACCTACGTGGCTCGATGGTACCCGTCAGATCATGCGCGCCCCTTCGTGGTACCCATCTTCCCTCCGTGGTACCCATCTTCCCTGCGTGGTACCCATCAACTGTGCGCGAATTCCCTGACTGGTACCGCAACATTTCAACCGAGCTGTACACTGTACAACAAGGGTTTCAATGCGTTTTTCAGTATATTAATAACAACGTTTACAAACTCTTATTGAACATTAATACCCTTGAACATAAATGTTTGAACGTGCCTTACACTGGACAGAGTGCAACATAGAAAGAAATCAACTCCTCTTCTAAAATCCTCACATTACCTCCGAACCTTCGTAAGCTCACACCACTGAACGACAGGTAGAGTGAATCTTGCGACCATGTTTCGCAGCGCTCAGTATGTTATTTGAGCAAAGTTTATAAGGTTGTATGCAAATAAATTGAGCATGCACCCCCAAAGCTAAACATAAAATCATAAACAAATAATACGTACATTCGTTGGTTTTTGGAAACAAAACAATACATATAATGAAAATCAAATATACCTTAAGTCAATATATACTTTACGTGTAAGTTGATTGTTTGCTATACGGATGTTTTTTTTTTCGGTTGATGCAATATATCAGTTTTACGTTATCTTATAGCACGTTATATTGTCGATGTTTCTTAGCCTAAACAAATCTACCCAATGAATGCTATTTTATTTAAGAATCCAGCTTTTCTTCTACACTTTATTATAGGTAATGGGTGTGATAAATTGACTCGATCAGGTGGCACTTCGGGCTTGTGACTCTATTGAGCTTGTAAACGTTAAGACAATATACTGAGAAACGCATTGAAACTCTTGGTGTACGGTGTACAGCTCGGTTGAAATGTTGCGGTACCAGTCAGGGAATTCGCGCACAGTTGATGGGTACCACGCAGGGAAGATGGGTACCACGGAGGGAAGATGGGTACCACGAAGGGGCGCGCATGATCTGACGGGTACCATCGAGCCACGTAGGTGACTTTTGACGTCAGCGGACTCGATGTGAGTTACCCAGAAGGTAATTACCCGTGAGACCTCGATCCAGTGGCCACAGAAGTCAAAATAAGGACCATCGCTAGTGGATCAATTTGTCGTTAGGGGATAGTGGCTAGACTTGGGCTGCATTCCGGGCACACGAACAGGCACCTCGAAACAGGCTAGTGCTTGAACGACCCCCTCCAACACTGCGCGACGACTGGCGATCTCCAAACACCTGGGGATGTCGGTGTGCGACGGCCCAAACTGTTCGTAACAAGCTGTTACGAGCGATACAGAATTCGCTGCCGCGAGCAGGAATTCGCGACTGCTACTGCTGGTAGCTAGGGCCGCAGCCTGTCCGTGGAGGTTTGCGCGGATGGCGAAGGAGCGGCACGCGGGCGGAGCACAACTGCATCGCGCAAACCCATACGACAATGTCGCCACCGTCGCCCACCCTCGCCGCGGTCCAATGGCACATGCAATGGAGAGCACTGGGCGACGAGTGAAACATCCTTCGTAGCATTTTCTCTCCACTTCTGTAGTGTAATTTCTTAGCGAGCAGGTAGGGACGTTGAAATGACCGCTCGTGTCGTCGTCAATCAAGTTCTGCAGAGTCGAGCCGCTGACAGGTTAGGTAGCAGCCATTGAGGCTCGACCACGTGTCGGATCTCCAACCACAGAAGTCGATTCTGGTGACAGAGAGGAAAGCCAAAAGGTCCCACCGAGAATTGAACTCGGGCATTCAGATTCAGAGTCTGACATCATAACCGCTAGATCATGGGACCTATGCGTCAATGAAAACTGTGACCGTATTATTCGTTTATTGACGACCCACGAATCCACCTTCCCCTGTATTTATCCAGTGCTGGCTGCACATGTCTTACCTTGCGCAGCCCATTGTCGGTGCGACTGGGGAAGTCGGGCTAGAGCTTCCCCACCGCCCTCCGCGCACCTACAACCCCTCCGTCTCCGTCGAGCCGCGCGGTCCCTCGGGACCAGCCTCAGATTGTTTCCCCTCTCCCCGCGACCGCGCGTCTCCCGCAGACGTTGTTCCGCCGCTGCCTGGTCAGCTCCACCGCCACGAGTCCGCGCCGTCCGCGCTTTCCGCCTCCACCTGGTCCGCTCCGCGCGGATTCCTTCGCCGCGACGCCGCGGACTTGCGCTGGCAGCAACCCCGCTGGTGGAACGCGCTGACTGCGCTGACCGCGCGAATCCGCTTATCCGCTTTCGCGCGGGATTTTGCGGAAGGGGAAGCGGAGGAATCTGAGCAGGAGTTGGGTGCGGTGAAGATGGGTGAACCGTGGGATTGGCGGAAGGAATTCGAGGAGGAGGAGTTAGCTTCGCAGCAAGCCGCGGGGGGGTCAGCGCTCATGGGGCTCGGGTTAGGCGCAATCGGCGGAACCGGCGGAATCGGCGGAAGCGGCGGAACTATCGGTCCCCCGGGGCGGAGAAAGTCGTCGTGGCGGGACTTGGCGGAGGCTCTGGCGGAAGCCTCGCGGAAGGTGCAGGAGGAGGTGCGGGAGTTCCGCAGCAGGGGGGGCGCGGCGGGGGATTTCTTCCGCGTGGGCAGCTGGCTCGCGCTCGCGGGGGCGGGCGGCGGAGAGACGGACGAATGGGTGAAGCGCGTGGGATGCCAGGTGTGCAGTGCGGTGATGGGGAGTGGGATGGACACGGGTGAAGGAGGGATGGGGATAAGGCTGGTCTCTGGGAGACTTCAAAAGCTACGGAAGAGGGGGTAGGGTGAGTTAGAGCAGAGATGATGGTTGTTTGTGCAGCATGTGGTTGTGAGAGCAGGGCGTGGGATTCCCACTCCTCATGCCATTCCCAATGCTGCATGCTCCCATGCTCCCATGCTCTCATGCTCCTCGTGCGTTTCAGGCGGCAGTGGTGGCGTTGCTGAAAGCGGCAATGAGCTCATCACTCGCACCGCCCACACTCACTGCTGGGGCTGATCAGACAACGGTAAACCTCGTGCCATAATCCCCTCTCCTCTCCTCCTGCCATTCCCTATTCTTTCAGGCGGCAGTGGTGGCGCTGCTGAAAGCGGCTATGGAGCTCATCACTCGCACCGTCGCCACTGCACCCCCTGCTACAGCCGCTACAGCTGATACAGAAACCGGTAGAGCGTCAGATGCTCATGCTACAGCACCTACAATCACCTCTGGGACTGCCCCTGCTGCAGCATGCCTCACCCGCCGCAGGAGCAGCAGCAGCTGCAGCAGCGGCTACAGCAGCAGCGGCTGTAGCGAGGACGAGGAGGAGGAGTGGGGGGCGGAGGAGGGGGAGGGGGGGCGGGAGATGGGGAGAGTGAGGAAAAGAGCGGGGGAGGGGGAAGGACAGGGCAGGGCGGAGGGCGGGGTGACAGAGGGGCAGAGCAGGGCGGGCGGCAGTGGGGGCGGCAGAGGGGCCGATGTGGGCGGCAGAGAGGCCGATGCGGGCGGCAGTGACGCGTCCACGTGGGTGCTATTCAGCCTGGCGCGTCTATGCGAGCCTCTAGAGAGCTTCACGCGCTATGAGTTGGCGCAGCAGAGGGAGCTGCAGGGCAGGGAGCAGCAGGGTGGGGGGGAGGCGGATGGGGGGGGCATGGACGGGTGGTTCTGGGGGAGGGCGTATCCAGGGGCGTTTGAGGCTCTGCTGACGATGCTGACCGTGCTGCACCGATACGCCATCACTGCTGCTATGTGAGCCGGTCAGGTTGGGGTCACGAGCCCTGTCCCTCTTGAATGCGGATCTGTGCTCTTGTTCGATGTGCTGCTGACCACTGGCTTCCTTCCCCACCCACCCTGCTCACCCCAGCACCGCACTGCATCGCAATTCGCCCCTCCCTTTCTCCCCAATTCCTCCCTCCAGCCAGGACGTGGAGCTATCCGCCAAGGCCTCTGGGCTGGACTACGGGCTACCCCACCCCACCCCGCTCGCCCCAGCACCTCCCTGCACCGCACTCCACCACCCCTCCGTCTCTCCCCTTCCCCCATCCAGCCAGGACGTGCAGCTATCTGCCAAGGCCTCTGGGCTGGACGACGGGCTCCTCCACCCTCCTCATGCCGCTCTCTCACCCACCGCCACGACAGCATCGCTGGCGCCACGTGGCACATCGTCGTCTGCCCACGTGGCAGGTGCCGCCCGGCTGGCGGACAGTGACATGGCGCTGTTCCTGCTGCTGTTCCAGATCGTCGGCGCTGTGCGCTTCTTTGCCCCGCCCGAGGCTGTTGGCTGCGCTGCGTTCTCGGTTCTGCTGGAGGATCAGGTGAGCGGGAGAGGGTGGAGGAGGGGCAGGTGAGCAGAGCAGCGGAGAGAGGGAGATCATCAGCGCCGTGCGCTTCTTTGCTCCGCCCCAGGCTGTTGGCTGCGCCGCCTTTTCTGTGCTGCTGGCGTATCAGGTGGGTGGTGGGGAGTGGAGTGGAGGGGCAGGTGAGCAATAGAGGGAGGGAAAAGGTGACTCAACGCTGTTGGCTGCGCCGCATCCTCGGTGCTGGTGGATGGGCAGGTGAGCATGAGGTGAGAATGAGGTGAGAATGAGGTGAGAATGAGGTGAGAATGAGGTGAGAATGTGGTGAGAATGAGGTGAGAATGTGGTGAGAATGTGGTGAGAATGTGGTGAGCTTGTGGTGAGCACGTGGTGAGCACGTTGTGAGCATGTGTTCAGCATGTGGTGAGCACGTGGTGAGCATGTGGTGAGCATGTGGTGAGCATGTGGTGAGCATGTGGTGAGCATGTGTTCAGCATGTGATGAGCATGTGATGAGCATGTGGTGAGCACGTGGTGAGCGCGTGGTGAGCATGTGTGGTGAGCATGTGGTGAGCATGTGGTGAGCATGTGGCGAGCATGTGGTGAGCATGTGGCGAGCATTGGAGCGTAGGGTGGAGGACCAGGTCGGTGGTGGAGGGAGGGTGAAGGCGATCTATGTCAAGGTGCGTAGGTAAGCAGTTGTGACCTTCCCTGTGCTGTTGGGGGACCACGTGAGGAGTGGAGGGTGGATCGGCACAGCTGCCTCACATGCCACAGCCTTCGCTTCTCCTTCTCGCCCTGCTGCTGCCAGACTCTCTTGATGCTGCTGCGACGAAGCAAGGTAGCAGCAGCAGCAGGCAGGTTCAACTGGGCGAATCGACAAGCTTTGATCCTACGAGTGATGCCCCGTTGGACTTCACGTTCGTTGAACCGTTGGAGGCAACGAACCCGTTGGAGGCAGAGATTCAGTGGGAGGTAGAGAGACAGTGGGACGATGATGCTGCAGGCAGTGCTTCTGCTGTCGATGCTGCTGCTTCTTCTGATCCAATTTCACCGTTAGGCCACTGCCGGATGATGGTGCATTAGCATTGCGCTGCTGAATCGCTGTGAGCAGCTCCTTCAACAAATGTGAGACGGAAACACCATCTAGAGCCAAAACTGCATCAGCCATGCGCTGCTCCTTCTCTCCCTCTAGCTCCTTCTCTCCCTCCAACTCCTCCGGTTTTTTTAGCAACGGCGCATCCAAGCACCAGTGGGGTAACGGTGAAACTGGATCAGAAGAAGCAGCAGCATCGACAACAGAAGCACTGCCTGCAACATCATCGTCCCACTGGCTCTCTACCTCCCACTGAGTCTCTGCCTCCAACGGGTTCGTTGCCTCCAACGGTTCAACGAACGAGAAGTCCCACAGGTCATCACTCATAGGATCAAAGCTTGTAGATTTGCCGAGTTAACCTGCCTGTTGCCGCTGCTACCTTGCTTCGTCGCAGCAGCATCTAGAGAGACCAACGGTGAAACAGTCTCAGCAGAAGGAGCTGGAGAGTATTCACGGCTAGCAGCCGCCCGACCGCTTGTGCCAGCAACAGCAGGGCGAGTATGAGAAGCGAAGGCTGTGGCATGTGAGGCAACTATGGTATGTGAAGCAGCGGAGGGCAGGTGAGTGTATGGTGGAAAGCTGATTAGCAGCAGGCTAATGGGCCATTGCCTCGTTTCATTCCGTCCCCCTTCCCCCATTCCCTTCCCCCAACCCACCCAGCTGTGCCATCTGTTCGACCACCTGTTGAGAGTAGCAGACATAGATGACGTGTACCGTCATGCAGTGAGAGTAGGGCTGCGCGCCGAGTTACTCTTGCCTCACTTCAACCTCCCACTTCTCCCCCATTCTTCCTTCCTGAATCCCCCCTCCTTGCAGCTGCGCCATCTCTTCGACCATCTCCTGAGGGCAGCGGACATCGACGACGTGTATCGCCATGCCGTGAGAGCAGGGCTGCGCGCCGAGTTCCTCTCGCACTTCGGGCAGCGTGCGGGCGGGCACCTGAACTTTCGTGTGCTGCCCGGCGAGCGCCGCTTCTGGGTGCAGCTGGTGGAGCGGCAGCTGCGGGCAGCGCTGGTCCGGGAGAAAATTTTCGAGGACTGGGCGGAGGGGGAGGGGGAGTGGGGGGGAGTGGGGGAGGGGGGAGGGGAGAGCCTGAAAGCTGAGCTGGCGGTTTTTGGGTTCTTTGTGGCGCTTGGGCGGGCGACACGACTGTTCCTCCAATCGGAGGGCGCCAGCGAGGCGGATGAGGGGCTGGCGACACTGCTGACGTGGGTGATGGGGTGGGGATACTTGTGATGGTGGTTATGGAATGGGTGTGATAGGGTGTGGTGATGATGGCATAGCATGGGTATGGTATGGATGGTGATGATGTATGACTGGCATGTCCCTTGTCCCACCCTTTCCCTTATCCCATCTTTGTATGACTGGCTCGCGCCACTCATTTTTTTCTCAGTCATGTCAAGCCGAGCCAGCAGTTTGGGTAGCAAGCAAGACCCTCGCTTCCCCCTCATTCCATGTTTCCCATACTCTCTCCCCACTCTTCCTCCCACCTCCCACCTTCTCCCGCACCCCCCCCTCTCTTCATCCCCCCCCACCCCCAGCCATTTCGAGGGCGCAATCATCTTCACCTTCCCCCAGCTGGACAACATATCCAAGTACCAGGGCCTTGTGGAGGTGAGGGGTTTGTGAAGGTGACAGGTGGTTTACTGCGGTAGCAGCAGGTACAGATGGAATCCCACTCGCCTTCCCCCACCTCTACAACATCTCCAAGTACCAAGGGCTCGTGGAGGTGAGTAGCATTTCAGGCCACTATTAGATCAGGGTGGTTCTAATCTAATGGAAGTGCTTGCCTCACTGCCCCACCTCCTCCTAGCCCTCTTGCAAACTACACCTCCACCCGTCCTCCCTTCCCCGCTTTTTCTTCCTAACCTTGCACTTCCCTCCCCTTTCCGCGTCTTTCTCAGGTCGTAAGGGAAGAGCTCTTTTGGCTGCCTCTCAGTAGTAATCACTTTTGAGAATTCTCGTTTGAGAATTCACTTTTGAGAATTCTAAGTATGATTTCTCTCAGGTCGCAAGGGAAGAGATCTTTTGGCTGCCTCTCCTCCCACCTCTTTCTTCCAAGCGTCACCCTGGCATCGACCCCTCCTCCCTCTCGCCCATCTTTGTAATTTCTCCTCCTCCCCCCCCCCCCCCCCCCCTCTCTTCCCCACCCCCTCAGGTCCTGAGAGAAGAGCTTGCCTGGTTGCCGCTCCTCCCACCCCTTTCCTCCAAGCGCCACCCCCACGTTGATCCCTCCTCCCTCTCGCCCTTTTTTTCTCCGCGTTGCACTGCCCTCTCCGTTTTGCATCCCTCTCAGGTGCTAAGAGAAGAGCTTGCATGGCTGCCACTCCTCCCACCTCTCTCCTCCAATCGCCACCCTGACATTGACCCCTCCTCCCTCTCTCCCATTCATGCCATTACCTTCGTCTCCCTCCTCCCTCCCCCTCCTTTCCTCCTGCATCAGGTCCTAAGAGAAGAGCTCGCCTGGCTGCCGCTCCTCCCCCCTCTTTCCTCCAAACGCCACCCTGACGTTGACCCCTCCTCCCTCTCTCCCATTCCTGCCCTTACCTTCGTCTCCCTCCTCCCTCCCCCTCCTTTCCTCCTGCATCAGGTCCTAAGAGAAGAGCTCGCCTGGCTGCCGCTCCTTCCCCCTCTTTCCTCCAAACGCCACCCTGACGTTGACCCCTCCTCCCTCTCGCCGCGCTCGGCACAGCGGCAGCGGCACCGGCAGCGGAGGAGGCGGCGCAGAGCGGTGCTGGTGGGTAAGGAGGTGTGCGGCATGTGGGCGAGGGATTGGGAGCGGCACTCCAGCTGGCTGCTGCAGCAGCCTGAGTCGCGAGCTGCTGCTTTCATGGCACAGGGGTGAGTGTGTGTGTGTGGTGGTGATGTTGCAGAGTATTTTTGAGAATTCTCAAAAATACTCTGCAACATCATGGGGTGAGTGTGTGTGTGTGGTGGTGATGGGGCCTAGAGGGATGAAGAGGAGTGAAGATGGGTTTATATGGCTGAAGAGGAGTGAAAAAGATAGTGTAGAGGGCTGTAGAAGGCTGTAAAGGGGTGAAGTGGGGTGAATGGTGTTGCTGGGTCTTCTAGAGCCACCCCTCTCCACCCCTCTCCACCCCTCAGCTTGATGCAGCTGTTGCTGTGTCTAAAGCCGTCAACCAAGCAGCTTCTGAGGCAGATTTAATTTTGACCCTCTCTATCTGTCTCCGCCCCTCCCCACCCCTCCGCACCCCTCTCCACCCCTCAGCATGATGCAGCTGGGGGGGCTGTGTCTGGAGCCGTCAACCAAGCAGCTTCTGAGGCAGATTAAAAGTTGTCCCTCTCTATCTGTCTCCGCCCCTCCCCACCCCTCCGCACCCCTCTCCACCCCTCCAGTTTGGTTCTTCTGGGGCTGTGCCTGGAGCCATCAACCAAACACCATGTGGCCGCAGAGTGAGTGTGAAGGGGAGAGTGAGGAGTGAGTGAGTACGAGGAGAGTGAGGAGTGAGTGAGTACGAGGAGAGTGAGGAGTGAGTGAGTACGAGGAGAGTGAGGAGTGGGTGAGTACGAGGAGAGTGAGGAGTGAGTGAGTACGAGGAGAGTGAGTGAGTGAGTGAGTGGGCTCAGCGAGTCAATGTGGTGAGTGAGTATGTGGGTATGAGGAGAAATGAGTACTTGTTACTCGCACGACCCTATTGGTCCTATTTTTTAGTCGACTCGAGAAATGAGTACTGGTTACTCGCACGACCCCATTGGTCCCCATACAACCTGGAAACTATGGCGCTCCCTTTCCCCCATACAACCTGGAAACTATGGCGCTCCCTTTCCCCCATACCATCGTCTTCCTCCCTCCCTTCGCAGTCCCACCCCCCTTCCCCTTCCGCACACCCCTTTCAGCCGCCCTCCCTCCCCCCTTCCCTTCCCCTCCCTCCTATCCTTCCCCAACCACCTGCCGTTCCCCGTCCACCCTCTCTTCCCTCTCCCAATCACCCCCCCCTCCCCCCTCCCCCCTCCCCACTCCCCCTTGCAGGGTGCCAGGCGTGCTAGTCCCCTCTTCTGACTCCGATTCCTCCAACGAGGCCGAGAGGCGTTTAGAGGGGTCGAGAGCGGTGGAGATGGGCGAGATGGAGGAGGTGGAGAGGGAGGCGAGGGAGAGGGAGGAGGCGAGGAGGCGGCTGGAGAAGGAACTGAGGGGGCTGAAGGTCATGGAGAGGGAACTCAAGGCTCTGAACCAGGTGAGGAGGAGGATGCTGACTGTGACTCAGTCAGTTGCATCTTGAGATCAGATCAGATCAGATCAGATCAGCGGAGACCATCAGGTGAGGAGGCGACTGGAGAAGGAGCTGAGAGGACTCAAGGTCATGGAGAGGAAACTCAAGGTGCTGAACCAGGTGGGGAGGAGGGTGCAGATGGGTGCTGATGGGTGCTAATGCTTGGTTTGGATTGGTTGTGTATGTGTGGCTGAGTGTACATGGCGAGGAGCTGAGGGGGCTGAAGGTCATATAGAGAGAACTCAAGGCGCTGAATCAGGTGCGGAGGAGCGGGTTACCATGACTTAGGTGCATCTACTCATCAGATTGTTGAGGCACATGGCGGCTGGAGAAGGAACTGAGGGGGCTGGGGGTCATGGAGAGGGAGTTGAAGGCGCTGAATCAGGTGAGGAGGTTGCAGATGGGTGCAGATGGGTGCTGATGGGTGCTGATGGGTGCTGATGCGTGCTGATGGGTGCTGATGGGTGCTGATGGGTGCTGATGGGTGCTGATGGGTGCTGATGGGTGCTGATGGGTGCTGATGGGTGCTGATGGGTGCTGATTGATGGTGAATGTGGATGAGCATGACCTTGGCAAGGAGCTGAGGGGGCTTTAGGTCATGGAGAGGGAGTTGAAGGCGCTGAACCAAGTGAGGAGGAGGATGATGCTGATCATGGATTGGGAATGTGCTCTTAATCTTTCTCCCCTTCCGTTGCTGCTCTGCAGCATTCTTCCCGGCAGGACTTTTTTTGTCTGTTAATGAGATAGTGGAGCAACTGATGTGAGGATTGGGATGAGAGGAGAAGCTCCCTTAGGGTTTCTTTTTTTTTACCATCAGAATTCTCTATCTGTGGAGTACAGTGGAGAGACTGATGAGACTGATGAAGCTCCCATTCATTCCCATGCACACTCACCCATGCCCTTAGCTCCACGCTCTCATTCTCTTTTCTTGGCAGGATTTTCTGTCTGTGGACGAGATAGTGGAGAGGCTGATGAGGGTGGTGGGTCAGTCGCGCTCTCTCATCTCTTCTTCCTCTCCCTCTCTTGATCCTCTCCCTTTTCTTCCCTGCTATCCTCTCAGGATTTTCTGTCTGTGGACGAGATAGTGGAACGGCTGATGAAGGTGGTGGAGGCAGAGAGTGCTGGGCTTAGAGGCGATGCTCCCTCTCACTCACACTCATACTCACATGCACACTCACACTCACACTCACACTCTCACTCTCACTCACACTCACACTCACATTCACGCTCTCACTCTCACTCGCATTCACACTCAGCTGCTGGGAAAGCAGGCAAGGGTGCAGATGACACATCAGCAGCAAGAGAAGGGGCAGGGGAAAGAGCAGAGGAGGGAGTTAAGGGAGAGAGGACAGGGGCCGAGGGAGAAGGGGCAGCGGGAGGAAGGGGAGATGGGGAAGAAGAGGCTGGAGCAAATGCCGCACAGAAACACGTGGCGCATACGAGTACAGCAGGTTCCATGGAAGGGAGAGCGGCAGGGGCGGGCGGGGCCAAAGGGAAGGCAGCAGGGGCGGGGACGAGTGAAAGATTGGCATTGGTGCGCGTGGAGTGGGAGAGGCTGGTGCGGGTAAGGGAGGAGATCAGAGCGCTGGAGAGACGGCTGAAGATGAAAGCAGCTGTGCAGGAGGAGAGGGTGCGGCGACAACAGGTGAGAGGGGAAGAGAAAGGGTGAAGGAGAGGGTGAGAGCCAGCACAGTGCTTAACAGAGCTGGAGAGACGGCTGAAGATGAAAGCAGCTGTTCAGGAGGAGAGGGTGCGGCGACAGCAGGTGAGAGGGGAAGAGAAAGGGTGAAGGAGAGGGTGAGAGCCAGCACAGTGCTTAACAGAGCTGGAGAGACGACTGAAGATGAAAGCAGCTGTGCAGGAGGAGAGGGTGCGACGACAGCAGGTGAGATGGAAGAGAGGGGGTGATGGCAGCAGGTGAGATGGAAGAGAGGGGGTGATGGCAGCAGGTGAGATGGAAGAGAGGGGGTGATGGCAGCAGGTGAGATGGAAGAGAGGGGGTGATGGCAGCAGGTGAGGAGAGTAGTTGACAGCTCTCCCCTCTCTCGCACTCTTCACCCCTCTCTTTTGAGGAGTCTCTCTAACTGGCCTCTCTCCTCTGTATCCTTCTGACTTATCCCTGTGATGTGCAGGAGGAGGTGGGGGAGAAGGTGAGTCGGCAGAGGAGGCAGGCGGCAGCACGTGAGATGGAGAAGCAGATGGAGCAGCAGCAGCAGCAGCAGCGCCATAGCATGGGGTATGCATGCATCAGCTTCTTCGAGTGCCTTGTCATTTTCGCCTTCAGTAAGTATCTTTCAGCTGTGTAACTTTTACAAATCTGCGTGATTGTTTGTTTCGGTAAGTGTTTTCAGCTCTAATAAGCCTCCCGCACACCTCCCCTTTTTCCCCTCCCCCCTTCCCCCTTCCTCTCAGTTTCCTGGTCACACTCGGGGACCTCTTCTCCTTCTCTCCCTCCCTCACTCCTTCAAACGCCAATGCCAACGCCAGCACCGCCACCAGCACCACCACCACCACTGACACCACCGCCACTATCGCCTCTATAGTTGGTGCTTACGACTACCCTCCCGCTCCCCACTACTCCTCCCTCCACAAGAGCCAATCGTCTCATGACACGTCAGCGCTCGCTGACTCGCCCTTCCCCTCCTACCTCACCTCTGCTTTCCTTTCCACTAGCACTGCTGCTCCCGTCACCACTGATACTGCCCCTGCCGCCCCTGCCGCCCGCTCTGGCCGCAGTTTTTTCTTCCAGCTGCCCGGGCAGGCTGCCCGGGAAGACTCATCGCTTCTTTCCAAAACCGAGGGAGAGGAGGCGGATGGGGAGGAAGAGAGGGAGGACAGTAGCAGAAGCAGGGGAGGGAGCACAGAGGTGCGAGGTGTAGCAGGGAGAAGGGGGAGGTTGGAAGAGATGGAGAGGGATATAAGTGGGTCTGGTGTGCAGGGAACGCGGGTGGAGTATGATGACGATGATTTCTCTCCCTTCCAATCGTTCACGCCCACGTCAGCACAAGCAGCGGCTGTTACTGCTAGCGGTGGTGCTGCTGCTGCTAGCAGCAGCGAGCCAGGCAAAAGAGATGGAACTGCTGGGCCTGGGAGGGCTGCAGCGACCCAGGCGCAGGTGCAGGCGCAGGGGCAGGCGCAGATGCAAAGAGAGGCACCGGCGCCAGCGCAGTTGCAACGGGGGGGGATAGGGGATGGAGGGGATGGAGAAAAGGGAGGGCAGGGAGGTCGGGGAGAGGAGGAGAGGAGTGAAGCACAGGATGCCAACAGCTCTTGGGCATTCAGAGAAGAGTTCTTTGACGAGAGAGCATGGGCAGGTGCAGCAGAGGCAGATGTAGCGGCTGGGTATGGGGATGGGGATGGGAGGCATGCGGCAGCGAGCATGGGAGGGCTGGGAGCAGAGGCGAGTAGGCTGCAGCAGCTGAAGGTGCAGTTAAGGGAGCTCGAGGCGAGACTGCTGCAGCGAGGTGCTGACGTTGGTGCTGTTGCTGGTGCTGGTAGGGAGGGAAAGATGGCTGCTGCTGCTGGTGGTGCTGCTGCTGGTGTTGCTGCTGCTGGTGGTGCTGCTGCTGGTGGTGCTGCTGCTGGTGTTGCTGCTGCTGGTGGTGCTGCTGCTGGTGGTGCTGCTGCTGGTGGTGCTGCTGCTGCTGGTGCTGCTGCTGGCACGTCAGCAGCAGCATCTACATCTCTTGAGCGGGAGGCGGCCACCCAAACGTCCCCTCCCAAGGCACCCTCCATCTTCGACCGACTCTTTGACTCCTCCTCTTGGAACCTCCCCTCCTCTGCCTCCTCCTCCGCTGCTGCTGCTGCTGCTGCTGCTGGGGGTGGTTCTGCTGCTGCTGCTGTTGGTGGTGTTTCTCCTGCTGGTGCTGCTGCTGCTGGTGGTGCTGCGGCTGCTGCCGCTCCTGGTGACTCGTGGAGTGTGGGAGGGGGGAGGGGAGGGCCGGATGGCAGCAGCAGCGGGGGCCTGGATGAGTGGGAGGGGAGCGATGTGACGAGCCGGGCGGGCGAGGGAGAGAGGCAGGAGAAGAGCGTCATTGATCAGTCCCTGGAGCACATTCGAGAAGGCGGAGCGGTAAGGATGGGTTGGATGGGGTGGGAGAGCGGTTCAGAGGAGGTTGAGGGTGTTGAGAGGGGAAGGGGCAGGAGAAGAGCGTCATTGATCAGTCTCTGGAGCACAACCAAAAAGGCGGAGCGGTAAGAATGGGTTGAATGGGGTGGGAGAGCAGTTGAGAGGGGTTGAGAGGGGGAGAGGCAGGAGAAGAGCATGATTGACCAGTCGCTGGAGAAGGCGGGGCGGTAAGAATGGCTTGGAGGGAATGGGACAGTGGTTGAGAGGAGTTGGGAACGGGGGAGTGGCAGGAGAATATTTAGTTGACCAATCTCTGGAGCACATTCGAGAAGGCGGGGCGGTAAGAAAGGGTTGGAGGGGGTGGGAGAGCGATTGAGAGTGGTTGAGGGTGGTTGGTTGAGAGTGGAAGAGGCAGGAGAAGAGCGTCATTGACCAGTCTCTTGAGCACGCTCGAGAAGGCGGGGTGGAAGGTAAGAAGAGTGGGGGATGGGAGAGAGGGGGCATGCAAGTCATGCAGCAGCCACGCGTCACTGCTTTCCCATCTTTCGCTATCATCAAATTTCTCCTGTCCCCACCATCCCCCTTACCAGGACGCGTGGCAGGGCGCTTAGCTCCTGAGCACTGACGTGACAATGGCCATGAAATGCTGCAACAGGCAGCGCATTACACCCCTCACCCGCCCATGTCCCCCTGTCACCCCGCATTACCCCCCTCACCCGCCCATGTCCCCGTCACCCCGCATTACCCCCCTCACCCGCCCATGTCCCCCTGTCACCCCGCATTACCCCCCTCACCCCCCCATGTCCCCCTGTCACCCCGCATTACCCCCCTCACCCCCCCATGTCCCCCTGTCACCCCGCATTACCCCCCTCACCCCCCCATGTCCCCCTGTCACCCCGCATTACCCCCCTCACCCGCCCATGTCCCCCTGTCACCCCGCATTACCCCCCTCACCCGCCCATGTCCCCCTGTCACCCCGCATTACCCCCCTCACCCCCCATGCTCCCATAATGTCACTCCCTACGTGTTCCCAGGATGCATGGCGAGGGACTCAGCTCCTCAGCACAGACGTGGCAGTCGCAATGAAGATGCTGCAGCGGGCAGCACTCGGGCAGCCCCTGACTGACCGGGAAGCGAAAGTTTTGAAGCGCACACTCACAGACATGGCGTCAGTTATTCCCATCGGCATCCTCATGCTCATCCCGGTGCGAGCCTCCCTCTCTCATATTGCGTGTGAGCTGTGCTAGCATGTATTGAGTGCCTCTCTAGCATGTCTGTTCACACGCGCGCGCTCACAGACGTGGCATCGGTGATCCCCATCGGCGTCCTCATGCTCATCCCGGTGAGCGTGCCACTCTCTCTCCTTCCTTGCCCTCCTCATGCTCATCCCGGTGCGTGCTGCTCTCAAGCGGAGCGGTCCTTGTGATGGTAGAGAGCTGGGCACATCAACGCAACAAGCAGGGATCTGCCTCTTTCTCCAACGGTTCTCTAGCGCACGTTGACAGACGTGGCATCGGTGATTCCCATTGGCGTCCTCATGCTCATCTCGGTGGGTGCGCTGTGCCTCCATCAGGGTGCCTCCATCGCTGTGCCTCCATCGCTGTGCCTCCATCGCTGTGCCTCCATCGCTGTGCCTCCATCGCTGTGCCTCCATCGCTGTGCCTCCATCAGTGTGCCTCTCTCTCATGGTCCGTTTCATTAGTGAGCAGCGCCTGCATTCGCACTAACTAACCCCTCCTTCCACCTCCTCATCCTCATGTGAGTGTTAGCCGCTCTATCCCTGCCTCCCCTTCTAATCAAGTGAAAGTGCTAGTAGCCATTCAGGGAAAAATCGCCGACCCAATGCGTGCTCTTTCCCATCCACCCCCCCGCTTCCCACCTCTCCTTCTCCCCACCTCCCCCAGATGACGCCTGTGGGGCACGCGGCAGTGCTGGCAGCCATTCAGAGATACGCCCCGCACCCCAACACTTACAATCTCCCATCCACTCCCCCTGTCTCCCACCCCCGCTCTTCCCACCTCCCCACCTCCCCCAGATGACACCTGTGGGGCACGCGGCAGTGCTGGCAGCCATTCAGAGATACGCCCCGCACCTTGTAAGCCCCTTGCGTCACTTCTCCCCCTTCCTCTCCCTGTCACCCACACATTTGGAGTCCCATCCCCCGTCCCCCTGCCCACGTCGCGAGACCACCCACTGCTTCTTCTGCTCCAACCCCCTTTACCCAGCCGCGCACCAAGTTGTGATCCCACCTCTTTCTTCCCCTGCATACCAGCCGCGCACCAAGTTGTGATCCCACCTCTTTCTTCCCCTGCATACCAGCCGGTCCGTCTGATACCCTGTCCGTTTTTCCCTTTTGCCGATCACCCGAGGGCCCGTTGCAGCTCTTATCCTCTCTGTTCTGTCTTTGAAGTTTGCGGTTTTCGGGATGAAATGAGATCCTTGCAAATTACTCACCGTTTGTTTTGAGGATCTTATGTCCGCCTGAGGTTGTTTCCTATCTCCTGTAGCTGCCCCTGTGTACTCTCCGTGCTGAGAGACTCACATTTGTTTCGGCCAGAAGATCCTCGTCACTCTCCTTCCTTTCGTCTCTCCCTTTTCCTCTCTTCCCCCTCGCCCTCCTTCTCGCCCCCCATCAGTTCCCCAGCTCATACAACGAGGATCGCCTCGATGCAGCGCGCCGCCTGGAGCAGGTAACGCCTGGAGCAGGTAACGCCTGGAGCAGGTAACGCCTGGAGCAGGTAACGCCTGGAGCAGGTAACGCCTGGAGCAGGGAACGCCTGGAGCAGGTAACGCCTGGAGCAGGTAACGCCTGGAGCAGGTAACGCCTGGAGCAGGGAACGCCTGGAGCAGGTAACGCCTGGAGCAGGGAACGCCTGGAGCAGGTAAAGCCTGGAGCAGTTAACGCTTGGAGCAGGTAACGCCTGGAGCAGGTAACGCCTGGAGCAGGTAACGCCTGGAGCAGGTAACTGCCTCCCATCCCATTGATCCCAAACCCCCTCTCTGTCTCCTCTTCCCCCAGAGCCTCCTCTGCATCAAGATGCTTCTTTCTGAAGCCCCATACTGCTTGCTTTCTCTCCATCCCCACCCCCCCTGCGCTGCCTCATCCCAATCCAGGTGCGCTCATTCGCTTCGCTTCGCAACGCCGCAGCAGCCGCTGCCGCCACTGCAACCGCCTCCTCCCACTCCTCATCCCGTGCCGCAACACCTGGCGGCACTGGATTGGCCGGGATGATCTCCACTGCCGTTGCTGGTGCGGCTAATGCAGGCAGTGCTGCTGCTGGCAGATCACCCCATGCAATCCCTCATTTGTCTGCCTCAGCTGCTGCTGCAATTTTGGCGCGAGAAGCGCAGCCGGAAGCCATAGTTCGGGTGCCGAAGCAGCCTGAGGTTGAGTCGCCTCCAGGCACACCACCGAACGAGATGGAGCTGAATGAAGGGGAGGAGGGGCAGGCTATGAAGGTAATCAAGAGGAGTGCTGCAGATGAGGCAGAGTGTCTATCACGACAGCTTGATTAGTTATGTAGAACATGAAAACTTTTTGTGGAGCACAAATTTTCACCAATTTGTAGGCTGAAATGTTGTTGCATTGCACCCGTATTGGTTTTGAGGCATGCTGGAAACACTCGAGTAAACTAGTGCTTCATGCTGGAAATTTCACTTGTATATTTATACTACCAGTGCTGCAAGTAATGAGGCATAGTGCTCCATGTGAGGCACAGTGCTTACCTTAAATTTGATGATGTTTTGTGGTACCTTGCATGTTATGTCACTACAATCACACACAACCAGTTCTTTTGCATGCATAAATCAATCCCTGTAATTTAAGTTGTTCCCACCCTGTTTCTTGCAAGGGATACTGCCAGCTTATACCGATACGGTGCATGAATCGCCATTCAGCATCAACAAAATATCAACAAAGGGATTGGCACGTGAAAAGTATCTGCAACGAACAGCCACCACACAGTTGCCCAGGATTTCCGATCAGAATTGTGAAGCCTATTCGCTGTTGCTCATTTGCTATCCTCAACCCATGATATGCATGCGTGTCAGGTTTACCACTTGTCCTTACACGACAGAGATGTGGTGGCAGTAAAGGATGAGGCAAATCTGCACCACAATTTGATTTCTCGACCAGCTGTCTGCTGATTTGGACCCCCACATCACATCTGCTGCGTGCATACACCTGATGCCCGTTTGAGTCCCCCCTACTTGGGTTGTGCTCTAGGCTTATAAACGTTTTAGGCATTTCGCCTATTTCGTTCCATTTCGCCAGGGTGTTGATGTGCTTCTAAAAAACACAGGTTGTAACTCGTTTGTTTTTTCCAAAACAGTGCTGGTGGGCCTGTGTTGTTGTCAGTTCAGGGTTTTGGGTTTATGCTTCTTTCTGGCCAAGAAACAAGAACCTACCGGGTCAGCATGGTTTGTTTTGCGCCTAAGATTCATACTTTGGCGTTTTCTCGCCCAAATGCAAGTTGATCCGCGTGCCTATAACCTGGGTGCAGCTGAATGGGAAAAAAAACACGGGTGCAGAGTTTCTGAAATGCGCAAGGCAAATTCGCGCGCAGTGGCTGGGCATCATGTGTATATACTGTACCTATCTATCTGCTCCCATTGAAATTACTAGGAGGTTTCTCAGCTTGATCCCTGGGATGAAAACTGTATACACAGGAAGCACGTTTGACTTCTACAACTTTTTCCATCATTTGGGTGTTTAGTGAGCAGCCCTATTTCGCTTCCTCGCCAGCATTCACCACGGGCAAAATCGGGACTGTAGTGGGCAGGTGAAGAAATGTAACCAGCTTCTACAAAATATCTCACGAACGGACGGATGCCAGCGTGATAAGCTGTCTGTTCAACGGCTGCGATCAAACAAGGGGCTTGTATTGTGCGTGCAGCTGGCTAATACTACTTGCAATTGGGCAGGCTGCCGAGCTCGGGCGGACCAAATTTGCGTGCACTTGTTGAGCATCCTGTGTATGGAAAGGCAAAAGAGTTCACCAAATTTTTATAGAATGATGATGTGCTTGGAACTTCAGACATGGTGCTTGCTCGTTGTTTTACTGTACACCGGCTCTCTCGGGCACTATGACATCCGCAACTTATTTTTTGAAACAAATTGACGGAACCAACGAGTTGTTGCGGCGCTCCTACTGTTTCAGCACGGATGTACAGTGAATGGGCAGTGTGACGTGACGACGCGTCATGCGATGCTCCACCACCTTAAAGCCGTGGCCCAACTATCAGCTTCGACTTCAGGGTATTATAGCTTGAAACTTGGTAGTCCCAGGCAGTTCAGTGGCGAGAGGTTTGTCTTTTGCGAGATTCCATTTTTTTCGTCCAATAAGGGTCCCGTTACACACACTCCATATTTGTCCTGCTACTGTTCCTAAGAAGTTGCACCCCGCCTTTAATCAATCACGAACGACACCACTTGCCGAGTTGTTGTAGGACCCCCATGTCTGTTTCGTAGCCCACCCCACCTCACCGCTCCTCTGAATCTTCTGCTGTGTGACTTCTTTGCTGATGTCAGCCGGGGGTGCACTCGCTTTGACGACAATCACCCAAGTCTTCTTGGAAACTTTGGTCCAAGTTGGTTCATGACATCGGTTCCTTCCATCACCAGGGACTGATTGGTACTTAAGGCAGTACGTTTAAGGCAAGTCATAACACGGTTCATGACCTTCGAAAACGTTCGGACGCGGTCCTAGTGTCTCATGCGTCGTGGTGGTGGCCCATTCGATTGGGTGTGAGAAATGTGCGAAACCTCGTGAACCATTCCGCACACAATCTTGTTTTCCACAATCCTGCCTTCTGCACTACCCTCATTTTCGCCACTCAAAATTCCCGTTCAGCATGGTTATATCTATCCGAAGCATAATGCTGGCTGGCTTGAGGTTTTTTGTTCCCGCCCCCCGTCCGGAACACCTAAATGCGATGCCCTTCCGTTCCATCCCACACTATTTTCTTGAATATCGAATGTGACTGTCACATTTGACACCGTAGCTCACTCGAAGAAATGCATTCACCGTGCGCGGCGGGAGGTGGTCTCGCTTCGCCCAACGCCTTTTCTTCGATCCAGCGCTTCGCGAATTGCACTGGCTGGGTCGAGCATGGGCCTTCCTTGCGACTCGTGCAAAGGGACAGCCCCCAAGCTCCGCAGTCAAGTTCGACACGTCACAGGCGGTCTGCGTCGACGTCGTGTCTCTCGTTCCCTGCCGCCGCATTCACCGCTTCGCTCGCCGCGGTTTCACCCATCAATTCGCCAGGAAAGAGGTCGCCTTTTCAACCGACGACGCACCAAGCCTCTACCACACCACATGGCCGCACCGCCCTCTCCGTATCGACGTTCGCGACATCGCGATGTGCTGACGAGACTCTAGCCCATCTTGATTGCAGCGCCACTGCATTCAGTCAGTTTTCTCCGCGTGTCCACGCGACCAGCACAGAAGTGGGCGAGTTTTGTGCGACGCTCCGTCCGGCTGTGCTCACCGTCGCTCGTCGCCGCCACCGTCGCACGCCGTCGGATTCAAGCCTTCTTGGTGCATCCTATTGTGCGAGCGCTCTCCAGTCTCGAATTGTCGCCGAATCTGACCCGCAGACAGTGTTGTCTGAGTTGGCCGAGTCAACGCGGTCAAGCGACTCGACAGAGACCCAAAGGTTGACTGAGTCAGCGGTCGTGAGGCTGACTGAAACGACAACGACGCCGCCGCCAAACGGCTCATTGCACCATCCTACCTCCTCGGCGATGCACGTTGACACCAAGAATTTACCTTCCCCGAAGCCTCATTCGATTCCGACGTCGGCGCAGCCGATGCAGCCGATGCGTGTACAGATTCCGCAGCCGCAATCGTGCACTGAAGCGCAAGACTTTACGCGGCCATTCGCGCCGCCACATTTGGTGGAGCGCGGAAGTCATGCGCGAGCGACGATTCAACCCACATGCGCAGCAAACCGCGGGATCTGGGGAATTTCACATGACGCCCCGCGTGTCTTCCTGCCCGCCGCGTCGCACAGTCGCAGCAACAGCGGAGAGAGCAGCGAATGGGGGGAGGCGGGCGGGGAGGACTTGGCGGAGCAATACGAGCTGATGCGCGCATCCTCATCTTTTGACGATGCGCGGGCTTCGGCTGAGCTGGCATGCGATCCAAAGTGGATGGACGCGGCGCGGTGCAGAATCAGCGAAGCGGCTTTGCGCGTGGTGGAAACGCAGCAGGTGTTGATGGCGCTGGATGAAGACACGCGATATAGCAACTGCAATGATCGGGTCGTTCGCTCTAGTTTCTCATACGATCACCTAGCCACCCCTGCATCTACTACACCCCACAGTCGTTTACGAATCTCGCTCGATTCATCAGCAACAGAGCCGTCGTTCAACTGGGGTCACCGTTGGTTCGCGCCTAAACAAGCGACACCTCCACCATCGTCTCACATCTCAACCGCTGATTGGAACGATATCGACGCTACGAATGAGAGCGGCTTTCCGTACCGATACACCGCCCCCGCTGCAGCGCTGTCAGCTGGTGCTCAGCTGGAGAAGGGTAACAATAACGGGATGAGCAAGTCCCTGGAACGACGTGAATTCAGCAAGCACAGATCATACCAGGAATCGCCAACTGTAGCGGTTCAGGCGCAACCCTCCCCCAGCGCCCTGCGCCGGAATATGTCCTTCCGCCAGTTGTCTTCCGCGTGGCACTGGAAAGACGGATCCACGTCATCTACGCCGCGAGCCACCGCCAGTGACGGTTTTGGGACCCCCGAGTGCACTACACCCAGTCATCCAGCAAAAACTAAAACATTCTTTCCTAGAATTCGGGAATCCAAATCAGTGGCAAATTTTGCCATGATGAGTGACAACATACGCGCTATAAGCAGCAGTGACAGCCCTTGCAGCAGCTTCAACAGCCCTACACCCAGCAGCAGTAGTAGCTACAGCTTCAACAAATACAGCCCCAGCAGCAGCAACAGCAGGGAGGTGAAGGAGAGCGAGAGCATGGAGAGGAGCAAGGGGGGTAGGAATAAGGCATTTGCAGGGATGGTGCCGGTGGTACCAAAGCAATCCCTTAGGCGCACGCTGAGCAGTGCTAAGGAAAGGCTACAGCTCCTGGGAATCAGCAAAGGGAAGTGAAGCAGCCAAACTGGCTGGTGGCTGCAGATTCAGCAATATGACATCCCTGCAGTCACATGCAACTCCGTAATGGATTATAGCCCAGCATTAATTACAGATTCTGTGCAGCTGCTGATGTGTATGCTTCATACCTAAATGGTTAACGCTTTCTCCCCTAACAATGTTTTCTCTGTCCCAGTCACCCATCCTCCTCCCATACCCTCTTCCATTTCAAACGCTTAGCAGAAGTACCGTAAAACTGCAGCGAGTGAGAAATGGTAGGGTATGTATGTGTTATGGGCAATGCATGACGCTCCTGGCCCAAAAATCTGCTCAGTAACAGGGGATGTCATCGTAACAGGGGACGGCATCGTGGCAAGTTTAACCATACAAACAGGTGCCCACAGTAGTTGTAAGACGGACGCACATGCAGCGTACTATGTACACGGTAGGAGTGGTGACTTTATGTAGTGACTTGACTTTTTGCGTGTGCAGATCACACATGGTGTAATTTTGTTTGAGGCAGGAAGAAGACGAGTGGCATGGTGGGCGTGATTGCATGATGCTGCCTGCAGTGCATAAAGAGACGAGGGTACAGGCATGATAGTGATTGAGCTTTGGGAATGGGCTTGCACGCACCAGGCACAAGGTGAACAAGAGCAGGGTTTTGGGTACATGCACAGGCACAGGCACAGGCACGAGTACAGAAAGCAAACTACGGACCTTGTTGCAAGTCTTGTGCAGGCAAGCAGGAGGATGAATCAAACGGACTCCGCAGGCAGGCTGAGCAGGAAGGAGGAGTCCTCGTGCTGCAGCCACACGCACTCCTCTTTGGACAGATGCCCGCTGAAATCAAGCTGCTTGCCATCTGCTGCTGCTACTTCACAGAAGTATTTGTTGCTTATTGCCCATTCCTGAAAAGAGGGGCGGTGGGCCGGGAAGAAGCGCAAGGAGGAGAGCGTGAGATGGGGGTATTTCCTTAAGGCAGCAGCCACCCGTACTCCTCTCTAGAGGGATGGGTGCCATGAGTAAGCTGCTTGCCGTCTCCTGCTGATACTCAACAGAAAGACATTCTGCTGAACCTCACCTCCTGAATGGAGGGGAGGAGGGGAGGGGAGGAGGGCAAGGAGGAGGGCGTGAGTTTTAGGCACTTCCTCCCTGCTGCAGCCACCCGCACTCCTCTCGAAAGGGATGGGTGCCAAAATTAAGCTGCTTGCCGTCTACTGCTGCTACTCGTTGGGCAGCTGAGGTGAGAAACTTGCCTTTTTGCAACGGTGAAGTGAGATGAGGTGAGGTGAGGTGAGGTGAGATTCGGCCGGCGGACACGGTGGGGATGGTAGTGCGGATGGTCCACCCGAACACCCTCGGCGGCACCCCTCAAACCCCTTCAGCAACCCTCAACACCTCTCAACATCACAGGGCGCACAGGCATTCACCATTTTGCAGAGGTCGACGCGAACAATAGATGCAGTGGGGATGGCGGTGTTGATGGTCCATCCAAACAGCTGCCACGTGTGCAGCAGCTGTGAGCCGTCGATTCGCATCGTGCGGACCACAAAAGCTGAGCACACACACACGAATGCCAAGCTGACGTGGATGGGATGGGTGTGATGGGGAGAAAGGAGAGGAGGCGGGCCCTTTAGAAGGGTTCTTCCAAATGCAACATAAATGCCGCATTGCACACGTGCTCGGGATTGGCAATAAGAGGTGAGGGCGGGGAGAGAGGGGCGGGAGAGGAGGGAGGGGAGGAGGGCCGTTTTGTCATGAGTGAAAATCGTTTCACGGTGCTGCGTTGCGCACTGTGAATGCCGCACACACGCTCGGAACTGCCATGCTGACGAGGGTGGAGAGTGAGGAGGGGGGAGTGGGAGGCGGGGAGGAGAGGGGGGCGCGGGCGGGGTGAGTGGGAAGGAATGACAGAGGGATGGCAAGGGGCGGTAGGTGAATGGAAACCAGGGGCACCACAGATGGATCATGGATGCACACACCGCTCATCGCTCCCACCGCTCAAAACCCCTCAAGAGTCAACACTCCTCTGCATCCCTCCACATCCCTCATCACCCCTCCCCACCCTTCTTATTCCGCATAAGCATCACCATCTTTTCCCAAGGCACAGTGTGCAGAGAGCAGAGGCAACATACATAAGGGTGGACGGGGTTCTTAGACAAATCTTCCCACACCCCTCAACACCTCTCAGCACTCCCCGAACCTCTCACCACCCCTCACAACTCCTCTGAAGGCTCACAGTGTGCAGTGAGCGGAGGCAACAGTCACCATGGGTGGAAGGGGTTTCTGCTTCCCTGGCGGTTCACACCACACGCACACACCACACCACTCCTGATAAACAGCACCCCTCAGCACCCCTGAGCACCCCTCAACAGTCCTCCTAAGGCTCACAGTGTGCAGATAGCAGAGGCGACAGGAAGGATGGGCGAAAGGGGTGTCTGCTGCCTCGTCCCCTCGCCATCATCCAGCATCAGAGGCATTAGCGCTGGTATCAGAGCACATAAAACACAATGCTGTGCAGTGATGAGAGATGGGAGACGGGAGATGAGACAGGAGAAGAGCACGGTAAACATATATATTTCTGCTGATTTTTTTATGCTGTTGTTGAAAATGAGAGAAAAAAAACAGCGGCAACCGCACCAACGGAAGCGACATGAGAGAGAGTAACTGTGCAACGATGGGCGACAGGAGGTGAGAGGAAGGCTTTGGTGAGCAGGGTAATCCTCTATTTGGAGAAGAGAAGGAAGATAGTCGCTGGTAGGTAGTGGTGCACTAGATGGGTGGCCTGTGGAGCGTTGATGCTTGTGGGATGAGCAGCACCGTGAGAGGGACAACTCGTTTTTGAAGCGCCTCAAAAACGACCTCAGAGCAGCACCGTGAGAGGGACAACTCGTTTTTGAGGCGCCTCAAAAACGACCTCAGAGCAGCACCGTGAGAGGGACAACTCGTTTTTGAGGCGCCTCAAAAACGACCTCAGAGCAGCACCGTGAGAGGGACGAACTCCCTCTGGTGTTTGAAAAAGCACATGCGAGCACAAGTGCTTATTTAGGCATCTAGAAATCGCACCCATATCGCCCCCATCGCTGCCACCACAGCCATCGCCCCCCATCGCCCCCACCACAGGCACCACAGCCGTCGCCCCCATCGGCCATACCATGAAGCCAGCTAGCACCCACCGCACCCATCGGCCACTGCACCCATCGGCCACTGCACCCATCGGCCACTGCACCCATCGGCCACTGCACCCACCGCCCACTGCACCCACCGCCCACTGCACCCACCGCCCACTGCACCCATCGGCCACTGCACCCACCGCCCACTGCACCCATCGGCCACTGCACCCACCGCCCACTGCACCCACCGCCCACTGCACCCACCGCCCATACCGTGAAGCCGAGCGCCGCTTTGGCCGGATGGACGGGCGGCAGGCGGATGAAGAGAGCAGAGCTTGTCCTCTCCAGTAGCTGGAGGTGGAAGGAGGGGGGGGGGTTGTTGGGGGGGATGGGCGCAAGGGGGAAAGGGGATTAGCTCAAAGGGGCGGAAGGCGGATGAAGAGGCCCGAGCTGGTCCTCTCCAGCAGCTGGGGGGAGGAGCGGGGGGGATTGGCGCAAGGGGGAATGGGGGATAAGCCCAGTGGAAAATGGAAGGGGGGGAGGAGGGGGATTAGCCCACTGGAGGGGCGGCAGGCGGATGAAGAGAGCAGAGCTGGTCCTCTCCAGTAGCTGGCGGGTGGGGGGGAGAGGAGAGAGGGGGAGGGAGGGAGAATGAGGAATAGGGGATTAGGCCAGTGGAAGGGGGAGGCGGGAAGGGGGGATTCGGCGCACTGGAGGGGTGGCAGGCGGAAGAACCGCGGAAGCTGGTCCTCTCAAGCAGGTGAGGGGCGGGAGGGAGGGGGAAGGGGATTGGCGCAAGGGGGAAAGGCGTGAGGCAAGGCGGAAAGGGGGATTAGCCCAGTGCAGGGGCAGGCGGATGAAGAGGTGGGAGCTGGTGGTCTCGAGCAGCTGGGGGAGAGGCGATCGGACGGGAGGGGCAAGGGGAGGGGCAAGGGAAGGGGCAACGGGATGGGCAACGGGATGGGCAAGGGGAGGGGCAAGGGGGAGGGGCATGGGGGAGGGGCAAGGGGGAGAGGCAAGGGGAGGGGAGGGGAGGGGCAAGGGGAGGGGCAACGGGGAGGGGCATGGGGGAGGGGCAAGGGGGAGGGGCAACGGGAGAGGCAAGGGGGAGGGGCAATGGGGAGGGGCATGGTTGAGGGGCAAGGGGGAGGGGCAAGGGGGAGGGGCAAGGGGGAGGGGCAAGGGGGAGGGGCAAGGGGGAGCTGGTCCACGTCAGCAGCTGGTCGGAGCGGTTAAGATTACCACCGTATGCCAGCAAGTTTACATGTTGGTCTGAAGGAATGATATTAGAGCGGCATTCGACAACCGGCCATTGAAACGTCCCTTGACCACATTCTCCTCCCTCTCCCACCCGCACCCCCCCCACCCCCGCTTCCCCCCGCCTCCCCTTGTTCCCCCACCCTGTCCCCATCCCCATTGCCCGCCCATGGGCGCACCACGCGCGTGCCAGCGGGCACACCATCTCTCAGCGGGTGCGACGCCTCCATCAACGGCGTCTCCATCTCCCCCGCAACTGACGCCGCAATTTGCGCCGATTTTGGCGCTGAGGATTTAGGCCCCGGCGCCGCCGCCGCCGCATGCGGAGGAGCGAGCGCTATGGAAAAGGGGGCGGCGACTGACTTCGTATGCCAGTCTGCCTGATTGCGACCGGAGGGCGCTGCGGCTTGCTCGGTTTCCGCAGGCCGCGGGGGGGTTGTGGAGGGACCTGCGGATTCCGCCATTGCGACTAGGGGTGCGGAGATTGCGCGGTGGAAACGCGGTATAGCTTATAAAATAGGCGGAATGGATGGAATAGGGCTGTGGGTGAATTGAAAAGTAGACGTCAAAGCAGGAGAGACTATGGCGAAAAAGAGGAAATGTGAATAATTGAAGGCATGATGGAAGAATTGGAAATTCAATTACACAAATGGAAGAGGGGGGAGCGGGGGGGCGGGGCGGAGGGGGGAAGGGGTGGAGAGGGGGAGAAGGTTGTTGGGAGACAAGCGGAGTGGATGAAGGAAATCCGCGCGACCGGGGCTGAAAAAGAACGACCCGGACCGGACCTTCTTGACTTTCGAATCAATGGTCGAGCTGTACGCGATATTAACAGCGCCACAACTGTGCTCGCAAAATAGACGTGGTTTTATTTACTGTAACAATCATCACATCACAAATCCCACATCGCTAGCACATAGCAATTTGGACCCTCACATACCCATTATAGCTTTTCAGAGATCCAGGTATGTGTTTGGTGGAGTATGTCATATACCCAATAATTTATCAGCCTCGTTTATAAATGAAAGATGTGGTCGGCACAATAACGAGCTCCATGCAGCTATGAAGTGATTGGTGCCATACTTGCATTGCAGCAGATTCTCCTGGAAAGATGCCTGGCGAGGCAAGGCATACCCCTGATGAGCTACTTTCCTCAATGCCATTGAGAACCCCCTATGTCTAGCAACAAAAAAATGTATACCACCACTACAGGAGATGTTTCCGGTATGGCCCTTCCGGGTTCACTCTGGTAGCATGGGATAGCACATGCGAAAAGATGATATGGGAGTGCTCATACTATGCAAGGCACGTCTTTCAGATAACCCCACTGTGTGGGTGGCAGCTGAGGTCACATGCCTGTCGGAAGTTTGAAGCTGCTGTGCAATATCGATATGGTAACATGAAATCATTCCAGGTCTGGTTATATTGAAATCACTTTTGAGAATTCTCAGAAGTGATTTCAATATAGCTGTGCAATATCAATACGGTAACATGAAATCATTACAGGTCTGGACCTGGCTGGCACACTCTCCTCAATAATCTACAATACAACAGACACAGATGCGGCATTTGTACACGATGGTAGGTGTGAATGTGTCGATGGAGGGAAGGAGGCTGTCAGAATGTCGATGTTTGTCTAGCCTGCAGTGGGGTACTCTATAGCGAGTACAATCCAATTAGGGTTTCCTATATGTATCTCAACTGCTGCTAGTGAAAACCACTCTTTCCTGTTTCTCATTTTCGCCTGCTGTTTCGACATGCTATCAGAGCAGGTCGACCCTCCTGGGTCGATCCTGTGGATGGGCCCGCCACCTAATGCTTCCGCTGCTGTACTGCCTATCGCGCGCCCCGGGCGCGCGACGTGTTCTGCTTGCCGCGCGCTCGGGTGCACGGCGTATTTTTCATCCCGCCGCGCGCTCGGGGCGCGCGGCGGTTTTCTGCCCCGTCGATCCGCGCGTCGCCCCCCGTCGCCCCCCGTCGCCCGTCGCAGCGCCCCCGGGGACCCGCGCGTCGCCCCTCGTCGCCCGTAGCGGCCCGCGCGACCTGCGCCAGGCTCGCGCGCGGCCCGTACAGCCCGCGCGCGGCCCGTACGGCCTGCGCCAGGCCCGCGCGCGGCTCGTACGGGCTGCGCCAGGCCCGCGCGCGGCCCGTACAGCCCGCGCGCGGCCCGTATTGTCAAAACATATTGTTATGTTCTTACTCTAGGTTGTGTAGGGTCACACCTTAGAGGGTACAACCCAACTCTCTCAACATCCTTGTACCCCCTCCCTCTTACCTAATCGACACTCATTCCTCACCTAGCTAGTGATTCTAACATGGTATTAAGAGCACAATGCTCATTAGGACCGAATTTTTAAAAGGGCCCACCACTACTATTTCGATCTACTGCCCGAGTCGCGCCCCTAGGAGAAACGCGAAATTCGAAACCGTGCTCTAGGCGAGACGGTTCCTTTTTTTGCCCTAGACGCGATTTTCCTTCCTAGTCACGTGCGACCCCCCCTGACCGCGCCCTAGCTGCCAGTACAGCCCGCGTAGGCCCGTCGCGAAGCCCGTACAGCCCGCGTCAGGCCGTCGCGCAGCCCGTACAGCCCACGTCAGGCCCGCACCCAGCTCGTAAAGCCCGCGCTAGGCCCGCACGCAGCCCTTACAGCCCTCGCCTGGCCCGCACGCGGCCCGTGTTCCTGCTGCACTCGCTGCTGCTGCTACTTGCTGCAGCTGCTCCTCCTTACTACTGCTACTACAGCTAGCGCTACTCACTGCTGCTGCTACTGACGCTACTCCTGTTACAGCTAGTGCTACTCACTGCTGCTGCTACTGAAGCTAGTGCTGCTACAGCTAGTGCTACTGCTGCTGTTGCTACTACGGCCCTTGCTACAGCTGCTACTGACTGAAGCTACGGCTGCTCCAGCTAGTGCTACTGCTGCAGCTCCTACTCCAGCACTTGCTACAGCTAGTGCTACTTCTGCAGCTCCTACTCCAGCACTTGCTACAGCTACTATTGACTGAAGCTACTCAAGCTACAGCTAGTGCTACTGCTGCAGCTCCTACTCCAGCACTTACTGCAGCTGCTCCTGACTGAAGCTACTGCTGCTACAGCTAGTACTACTGCTGCAGCTCCTACTACTTCACTTGCTACAGCTAGTGCTACTGCTGCAGCTCCTACTCCAGCACTTGCTACAGCTGCTCCTGACTGAAACTACTGCTGCTTGACTGAAGCTACTGCTGCTACAGCTAGTACTACTGCTGCAGCTCCTACTACTTCACTTGCTACAGCTAGTGCTACTGCTGCAGCTCCTACTGCTGCACTTGCTACAGCTAGTGCTACTGCTGCTCTGCCACTGTGTCCGAGCCGTGCCACCCAGCCCGAGCTGTCACTGCTGCTGCTACTGCAACTACTACTGCTACAGCTAGTGCTACTCGGTCTACTGCTGCTGCTGCCCGAGCCGCCCTGCTACTGCTGCTACTGGAGGGAGTACTGCTGGGAGTGGTGGAGGTGCGGCCTCCCACCCCCACCGAGCCGCCCTGCTGCTGTTACTACTGCTGCTGCTGCTACTTGTGCTACTGGAAGTGGAGGAGGTGCTGCTGGGAGTGTAGGAGGTGCTGCTGGCGCTGTAGGAGCTGGAGGTGCTGGACCTACTCCTGACAGTCACTGTCTGTCATGGCCACTTCCGCGGCAGTCGCTGCGGCCAGGGGTGGACAGCAGCGGGCACTGCTTCTCCCAGACGACCCCACCCCTCGGCAGCTTCGTGAGTGGGTTATTCAACGAGGTCGTCCTGGTGGTGGAGGTTATCGTTCTATTAAGACCGCTGCTCTTGGTGTTAGTGAGTCTGCTGCCACTCCAGGTGTTAGTCAGTCTGCTGCCATTCCAGGTGTTAGTGAGTCTGCTGCCACTCCAGGTGCTAGTGAGTCTGCTGCAGCTCTAGGTGCCCGTGAGTCTACCGACGCTCTAGTTGCTAGTGCGTCTACTACCACAGGTCCTGCCTCAGCTGAGGTCTTGCACACTTTCACGCTTGACTCCGGCGCGTCACGTTGCTTCTTCCGTGATTGCACCACAGTCACACCACTCACAGCACCTGTCCCAGTCTCACTGGCTGACCCCTCTGGGGGCCCAGTGGTTGCGAGAGCCTCCACGGTCCTCCCTTGTCCAGCAGTCCCCTGCGGCTCTTTGTCACGTCTCCACCTCCCCACGTTCTCGACGAACTTGGTGAGCAACGCTGCCATTCAGGATGTCTGGGTTGATACCTTTATTCCTGGAGGCAGCGTGTGGCGATCTGTACGTGCTCCCGGACTGGCCGTCACCTGGCTACGTTCACTCGACAGCCTGGGTCCAGTCTGTACACACTGATCACTGCGTCTGCACAGGTGGCTGAGTCAGGTCAGGTAGCTACGTCGAGTCGAGCGTCTGCGTCAGGGCAGTTAGCTGCGTCTTGCTCGTGCCGAGTACTCACGCACGAGACTCAGCGCTGGCACCACCGTCTTGGTCACCCCTCCCTGCAGCGTCTGCGCCGCATGCACTCTCGGCTCCTGGTCACTGGCCTCCCTGAGACCCTGCCCCCCCTCCCGCGCTCACTTGCGCCGCCGTGCCTTCCTTGCGTCGAGGGGCGGCAGCGCGCTGCTCCTCACTCCTCCGAGTTTCCTCCGACCACTGCTCCTCTGCAGACTCTCCACATGGACGTGTGGGGCCCGGCCCCCGTCGGTGGAACGGACCAGGAGCGCTACTTCCTGCTAGTGGTTGACGACTACACACACTACACCACAGTCTTCCCCTTGCGGCACAAGGCGGATGTCAGTGGTGTCTTGATCCCCTGGATCCGTGCTACTCGTCACCAGCTGCGCGAGCGGTTTCGGCGGGACTTTCCAGTCCTGCGTCTGCACTCTGACAGGGGTGGTGAGTTCTCCTCTGGCGTCCTTGAGACGTTCTGCGAGGATGAGGGCATCGCCCAGTCGTTCACGCTTCCGGCCTCTCCGCAGCAAAATGGGATCGCTGAGCGTCGCATTGGCCTGATCATGGAGGTTGCTCGTACCTCCATGATCCATGCGGCTGCTCCCCATTTCCTGTGGCCGTTTGCGGTCCGATACGCCGCGCATCAGCTCAACCTCTGGCCCCGTGTCTCTACTCCAGAGACCTCGCCCACACTCCGTTGGACGGGACAGCCTGGTGATGCGTCGTCGTTTCGGGTCTTGGGCGCGCTCTCCCTTGTTCGCGATACCAAAGCGAGCAAGCTCTCCCCTC